ATTTTATTTATATTGAACTATGCTTCTAAAGCAGATAGCTATGTTTAAACATCCCTAAAAGTTTAGCCACAGATTTATTCCAGACTAAGTTTTGATATCATTAATGTTTATATATAAATACACAGGTTACCTTGTACACCCTGATTTGGATTTTAAATCACAGTAATCCCAATCAACATTTAAAACTGTAATTTGAAACAACAAATTATTTGTTTATCGTCTACTGCCTGGTCTCTTTGGAGTGAGAAAATTCAGAAAACAACAGAGTTGCAGGCCTGCAATGTCAGTCTGGTTACAGCTGTAGCCAGACTTCTACCAGACGACATAAGCAGAACATCTTGTCATCAATAACTACTGTCTATTAAGAAAGGAACCTTGGAGGAAGGGAAGACTCCAAGACCCATAATTTGGCACAAACCCTCAAGCAAATTATGGGACTGGTAGCCATTAGATTGCAGGGGGTCAGAGCACCCCTCATCTCCATGCCATTCCCATGCTGTTTCTTCACACAACTGAAAGGTGCCCTGCAGCATCTCTGCAAGTCAGAAAGAAATGGCATGGGGACTATGTGAAGATAAGATGGCTGCGCTATGTCATGTCATTTGATAGATACCACTCCCATAATATAACCTGGGGGGACCTGCCAAATTATGGGTCTGGACGTTCTTCTTCTGTCCAAAAAGCCTCATATCTATAGTCTATAGCAATTCCTACGTAAGTAGTGGGGAATCACCCTGGCACTCCAAAAATTCACAAGATGTTGCAACACCACTCAAAATCAACAGCAATCACCAAGGCACCCAATGCGGCTGCAGCAGTAATGGCAGCAGCTGTCCATATTGCAGAAGGATATCAGAAAGGCATCCCACCCGACAGGTACCTTCCCTAGAGCACCTTGTTCTATAGCAGAAGGCAGGAAGAAAAGTGGCTTTTACAGCAGCATCAAAATGTGGCAGCTTGCTATTAGCAGAAGCTGCATGCAGAGAGAACAGTGGAAGCCACATATGGCCTATAAGCAACATGTTTCCTAATAATGGGACTTCTGGAATTTTAGGAATCAAAAGACTAGTGCCATTATCTATTTCATTCCATGTGTTTCAGCTGGGAAGAACAAGGGCACAGCCCCTCAATTCTACTACTTCCTGGGAGTCACCAAAGTGCTTCATGGAAAAGGTTGTCTTCCTACCCATTAGATTCTATAGGGGGAGACTCTCACAACTGCCTTTTCCATGGAGCACCAGGGCAACTCCCAGGAAGCAGTGGGGCTCAGAGATCATTCCTTTGGTCTTCCAAGCCAAAGCACAAGGAATGAAGTAGGCAGTATGTAGTGGTAAAAAGATACTGTATCTCTTTTGCCTTCTGGTTTATGCTCTCTGAGTCCCAAATGTTTGCTTGGATGATTCTAGGTGACTTCTGAGACACGACATTCAAGAATTCCAAAATCCCATCCCTAATGGTGCCCACCCTTGACCTGCAGATTTTAAAGCAGTTTAAAAAAAACCATATCAATTATGCTCGAAAGTCACTTTCCCTCATCAATGAACAGCTACATTCTCTCATCTAAGCTCACTACCCAAGCAGCTGGTTGCGAAAACTGCAAGATGGAATGTGGGCAAACTTGCTGTGTACTCCCCACCTGACTGGCACAAGGAAGAGTGAGAAGTGCATCTGAATAATTCTCACCGAGCTCCAAAGCAGCTAAATAAAGTGCAATAGGATTTCAGTGACCCTCTTATGTGCTTCTCCCAACTCCCCAGATGACTGGCAATCTATCATAATTGATATACCAACATTAGAACTGTACTAGTCTATCCACTTCTTTTCAATATTTTTCTCTTCACGCAAGAAATATTAAACCTCGGACACATGCATATTTCTATTACTATATTCATTTGTGTTACTTCTCTCTTACCACATGTCTATAGCTGTAGTATAGAAAGTGACTGCAGTATCAAACTTCTCTTTGGCAAATGCTTCATTCCCCTCCTTTTTCATATCCTCACTCTTCTGCAACAAAGCATAAGAAATTAAGATTAAGACTGACTGTAAAATGGATTAAGGGGCCACATAGAAGATTCAGGGCACAAAATTCACCTTACACAACAAACCTCTATTTGAATTATTTTATAAAAACCCATGTGTTAAAAGAACTGCTAGCCTTAAGGTATAAGTAAACAAAATGAGGAAACCAGAATCACTGATGTTAAAATAACAGTGTTTCCAATCTGTATCATCTAGATTACAGACTGATTAACACAGGTCAATGTATCTTGCTCTATGATTGATTATTTGCCCGTAGAGCCACAGATCAGGAGTTTGATTCTCCACTATCCCTCCTGGGATAAAAAACAGCCTGTGTAGCTTTTGGCAAGTTACATAGTACCAGAGCGGTGTCTAAATAGGGGAATGGTAAACCACTTCTGAGAACTTTATTCATAAGAAACCCTACATATGTATAATCAACTTGACAGCAGGGTGGATAAAAATAGTTTTTAAAAATCAAATTGATTTAAATCACATTTTAAATCATGATTTAAATATTTCTTAATGTTTAAAAATTAAATCAATAATTCATGTTTTAATTTAAATCACAGTTCCACCCTGCTTGATAGCACATAAAAATTACTACAGAAAGAGAACAATATTTTAACATTACTCATAGTTTCTACAATACTTATAAATTAACATTAATGCTTAAATCTAACCTTTATACAGCTTTCACAGTATTGAGATTCAAATGCTTCTATTATATTGTAGTCATCCAATGCAACTTTACTGATATAACACTTGTCTGGCAAGGAGAAAGAAAAGATAATAAAGGAAACAGGTCCAATTGTTTATTGCTACCAGCTACAGTACTGATGAGTGTTGGAGGTTTACTTCTAGTGAATGGGCTAGAGGCAAGCAGAGATCAGAATGAAATGATGACAAGTACACAGGTGGGCAACATACTGGAACATGTGTGGGTGAGATTCAGAACAGGCTTCCAAAATCAAGGAAAACATTATGTTTAGGTACCATTCTCCATACACATAGCCAGCTAGCCCACATGCCACCCAAAAAGCCACTCCTGAAGAACTGGGAACTCTTCATTATGGCACAGAATTCATTAGGTAGATGTTGATCTGGAAAGTCTGTGTTTATGAACATGAGCACCTTCCACAGTGTACAGCACATTCAAAATCAGCCCATTTATGTGCCACCTATAAAGT